TTGAGTCCATTGATGTTAAGTGATATTAATGACCAGTGGTTGTTGACTCTGTTTATTCATTTTTTTTCATTTTTATTTTTTTGGCAGTGAGTTTGTGTGTTTCCCTTCTTTGAGTTGTGCTTGTGAAGGTTCACTAGATGTCCGAGTTATTTGTAGGCAGTGTTGGCAATGTTGGATTCCTTGGGCTGTGATTTTCCTTCTTTTACTTTCTGTAAGGCTGAATTTGTGGCTGCGTATTGTTTAAATTTACTTTTATCCTGGAATATTTTGTTTTCTCCATTGATAGTAAATGATAGCTTGGCTGGGTATAGTAGTTTGGGCTTCCATCCATGATCTCTTAGTTTCTGCAGGACCTCTATCTAAGACCTTCTGGCTTTCATGGTTTCCGTAGAGAAGTCCGGTGTAAGTCTGATAGGTTTACCTTTATAAGTTACTTGACCTTTTTCCTTTGCAGCTTTTAATATCCTTTCTTTAATCTGAATGCTTTGTGTTTTGATTATTATATGGCGAGGGGATTTTTTTTTTTTTGATTGAGTCTATTTGGTGTTCTGTATGCTTCTTGAACCTTCATAGGAATATCATTCTTTAGGTTGGGAAAGTTTTCTTCTATAATTTTGTTGAATGTATTTTCTGAGCCTTTGATCCGCAATTCTTATTCTTCTTCTACCCCTATTATTCTTAGGTTTGGTCTTTTTATTGTTTCCCTGATTTCTTGAATGTTTTGTGATGAGAATTTGTTGGATTTGCTGTTTTCTTTGATCAGAGCATTTATTTTCTTTATGGTGTGTTCATAATCTGAGATTTTTTTCTTATATCTATTGTATTTTATTGGTTATGCTTGATTCTGTAGTCTCTGTTCGTTTACCTATATTTTCCATATCCTCCCGGCCCTCAGTTTGTGTTTTCTTCATTGCCTCTATTTTAGTTTTCATATCTTGAACTGTTTTCATTACCTGTTTGATTGTTTTTTCTTGGTTTCCCAGGGTATCATTTATTGATTTACTCATTTCTTCAAACTTTTTGTTATACTTCTCCTCCATTTCTTTAAGGGAGTTATTCATCCCCTGTTTAAGGGACTCTATAGCTTTAATAATGACACTTTTTCCACTTCTTTTGGATTAGGGTCTTTAAGTCATTCTGTTGTAAGATCGCTTGGTTCTGGTGTTTTCATGCTGTTTTTTAGATTGTTGGAGGAATTCTTGCCTTGACGCCTGCCCATCTCTTCCTTCAAATGCTCTCCAATGGATCTTCTGGTAAAGGGTCATGTTCCCTTGTTGGTCAGTGACCTTGCCCTCTGATGGATCTTCTGCTCCTGGATCAATGCCCCTTGCTGCCCAGGAATCTTGCTGACAAAAGGCCTACCTGCTTCAGGCAGGCTATTGAAACACAGGAACTCCCTCCTGCTGGGTTGCACTTACCACCCTGTCCCAGAGCCCAAACAGGCTGAGCTGGGGGATTTTATGGCCCCAAGGATGGGAGGAAGAAGGGAAGGGGTTCCTAGGTGAAAATTGGTATGGGATAGGAGAAGAGAGGCCATAGCAGGGTGGAGCAGCCCCTGCAGAATGACCAGGGACTTAGGGGGATTGGGCAATGTCTATGCTCCCGTTGCTGGGCTTCTGCTGCGGGTCAGGAGCACACTTACCCCTCTGATGGATCTTCTGCAACAGTCCCCCTCTTCCTCTTGATTATTACTTTGATATTTGATCATATTCATCCCTCCTCCAGTTCCTCTCAGATCAGATCCTTCCCCCTTTCCCAGTCATCCACTGACTCCTATCCTTTTATGGTCTTCACAAACACTCTACCTGCAATGATCTCTGATCTTGGGGAGGATAAGTTGTAATATAAATGCCCCATTTAGAAGTAGGCATTTTCAATCTCTTATTCTCTCTACTGTCACCCCTTGTAGATTTCTCTTAATCACTATCTATTGTAAGTAGAAGCTTCTCTAATAAAGTTTAAGAGATGCAGTAATCTGTGGGTGTAACAATAATTCATTAAGAGTCAGTTTAATACTATGCCCATTTAGCAGAGTAGTAGTAATAGCTTCTTTCCTATGACCTAGGCCTGTCTGGTCAAAGGTTCTTAACCTCAATAATGTTGCTGGGTATGATTATATGCATGTTGAGTGGGCCTTAAGTTCAGTCAGAAAGTTTTGGTTATTCCCAATATGTTTGTGCCATCATTGCACCTCATGGGCATGTCTGGCTATGTCAGTCATTCTTCCAGTTTTCAGGGTTCACAGCTGGGTGAGCTTGATAACTACTTTTCTCCAGTGATAGCATGCATAGCACCTTTCCAGCTTCCAGGTCAGTGCCAGATTGGTGTCGCCCATGTTTTATGATTCTAGTATGTGATGTCTTTCATAAAGGGATTGTATTAAATTACTGGTTCTCTGAGGACAAGAGAAACTGTAGCAGAGTGCTAACTGACACCTCATGGGTGGAGATTACGGATTCTGCTAACAAGTACAAGGTACTAGCCAGCCAACCCTTTACAACAAATAATTACTTGTCTGCAAAATAAATGATCTCTTACATACCTTCCTATGTCAAAGCTTCAGTTTTGTGATTGTACTTAAATTCTAGTTTTGTAAAATTGGTTTGTAATGAACCATATCTAAAATTGCTGTTTTAAAAGGCAGTAATTTTCAACTTCAGTGAACGGTAGTCTATATTTTTTTCTTTCTTCAGTCAGCTGATTGTATATTTTGTACCATTGAGATAATATTATTTTGCAAATGTACAGTAAACTTTCCTGACTTCTTAAACAAGGGGTAGTTATCATAGTCTAACTTGTTTTATGATTCATGATGATCATTTCAGAGAGTAATTATTTTTCATCTGTTATAATATTCTGGGTCTATTTTAAACTTTTTGATGCTTTCGTACAGCCACTACCATCTAATGTTTTGCTTTTGATATGAGATGTTTATAAATATATATTTTAAAGTTTTTCTGTCCTTGTCCCTATGCTTTTGTTCCATTTTTGACTTTATTACTGACCTCTTGTTACAAATTTTCTTTCCGTAGAACAGTTTGTTGGTACTATGTGTAATGTGCTTCTCTGTCTAGTCAGTAATTTTTTTGATACTGTCCAGTCTGTATCATAGTAATTCTTTAGGCCTGTTTTTACCAGGTGTCCTCTGTTCTTACAGATTTTCTTCCTATAGATAAATTTCAAAGGTAGATTTCTATAGAGCTATTTTAAATTTCAATGTTTTCACATAGATTTTCCATCCTAATAGCCTCATCTTTTTATTCATCATATTCTCCAATCAATTTCATTTCCTTTTGCAACAAAGATCATATTCTATTCTTTCCTTCTTTCTTTTTCTTCTCTTTTGAGAGAGAGAGAGTTCCTGGGCCTAGTGTAAACTAGGCAAGCTCTCTACTACTGCTAATGAGCTACACCTCTAGCTTCTCCCTTTCACTGTTTAATCAAATTTTGCAACTAAGTTGTGGTCACACTTCAGTGGATATGTAATAATCAATCATGGAGTCTGTTCCACTTTCCTTTTTATTTTCCCTCCCTTCTTTTGCTCTTTCTGCTTCCATTCCTTTCATCTCAGCTTTGACATGTTCCAAACCAGTGAATGTAATTATCTTCTTGCCTATACATAATTTTCCTTTCTTTCTATACTATACTTGCTTCCAGATTAATATTCTTGTAAAGTGCTTTTATCACAACCACTCCCATTGTTAGGGAAATAGATTTTGGGGTTTTCAGGGGGTTGTCTGAAAGTGTGTGTGTGTGTGTGTATGTGTGTTGTGTCCATGTAGTTCAAATCTATTTGAAATATCTCCTTTCATCCCCTGTATCTGTTTCAGTGGTTCATACCCTTTTCAAGGAGTAATTAAGAGGATAAAAATACTCTTTAAGCAAGTAAAGATTTTCAGATTTACTTTTTCTTTTGATTACTCTTAACCAGTGTTCTCCCAATAAGCAAATAACAAGACAAATACTAGTTTACTGGAAAACTATCTTTTTCTCTGATTTACTTGCTGGCAGTTAGGAATTTCTGCTCTAAATAGTATTTATCTATAAATATTCACGTTCTTTACTCTCACTTTGTCACTCTTTAACTTTCCAAATTTTACATGAATTAGAGTCTCTTCTTAAAATGTCTGTTAGCCATTTGGTGTGGCATTCTGATATTTATAGTGCCTTCAATCCTAAATTGAAAACTTTTTAGGGGTGGTGAAGCAGAACTTTAATTCCAACATTCAGAAGGCAGAGGCAAGTGAACCTCTTTGACTTCTAGTCTATTCAGTGCTACAAAACAAGACCCAGGGTGGGGTCAGAATAAAAGGAAAGTAATTAAATTGTTTGCTCCTTGAATGCAGGATCTAGGGTTTTTGTTTATTTTTTCTTATAACACCAAACATAATTTCTATTTTTATAGTTTCAATAATGTTTTGCATCCTTTAGGTACGTCCTCAGTAAGAAAATGACAGACATTGAAACCTCAATCTTATATTGCTGTCTTTGCTAGTCATGAAATACTATAGACTATATTTATACTGTTTATGATTCTTAGAGATTAACTATTACATTCACATTTTTATAAATTAAAGAACATTTGCCTTTTGTTATTTAAAAAATTGATTAGCTTTTACTAAAAACATGTGGTTTTGGTTTTTTGAACTCTGTATTCTGACTGAAAAACTAGAGGTCAAGATAAAAAAGCAGAGTGTGGAGGGGCTGTGCTTAATTTTCAGTTTTATAATACTGAAGTGATAAAGCCTATACTCATTTTAATAGACTGTATCAATTCTGTATACTTTAGCATGCTTAAGGAAACTATAATATAGTTTTGAATTTCTAGTGATTATGTATATTGCAGTTTCCTTCTACTTATATGCCCATGTACCTAGATATATTAGCATAACACATTTAAAAAATTGTTGTTTTGGTATATAATAACCCTTTTTAAACAAATGTAATTTGTTTTGGTATTGATGGAATATTCTTATATCCCACCCTTCTCATCCTCTCAGGTGCTATTCAAGTATTGGGAAAGTTCAGGATGCCTTTATATCTTACAGGCAGTCTATTGATAAATCAGAAGCAAGTGCAGATACATGGTGTTCAATAGGGTAAGACTGCATCATATAATGCACTTTGTAATAAAAATCATGCTATGAAACCAGTTATTCTTAGTTGACTTATTTTTTCTTAATTTCTCTTTTTAGTGTGCTCTATCAACAACAAAATCAGCCTATGGATGCTTTACAGGCCTATATTTGTGCTGTACAATTGGACCATGGCCATGCCGCAGCGTGGATGGATCTAGGCACTCTCTATGAATCCTGCAACCAGCCTCAGGATGCTATTAAATGCTATTTAAATGCAACTAGAAGCAAAAATTGTAGTAATACCTCTGCACTTGCAGCACGGATTAAATATTTACAGGTAAAAATTTTAAATACCAATTTTTTAAGCCATATATTTCCCCAGAACACTCAGGCAGGAATAGGGTGGCTGGAAATTTTGTCGAGTTGTCTTTGGATGTCTAAAATCTGTTTCCATATTTTGTAAACATACCATAGCTTTGTAATACTGTTTTACTTTCCATTTTAAGTGAGAGAAGCAATATTTTTTTAAAATGCTCTTTTGCACTTTGATGCATATTAATTTACATAAGTTTTTTTTCAGTGTACTGTCTACATTTTTAAGTTGTCATAGCATTTTAAAGAAAAGAACACAAACACTGTCGTTCACTCTTGCTTCAAATTTCATGAGGAGACAGCTAATGAGAACCCTGGAAACAGCATAGCTATATTTTGATTTTCACAAAGGTTTATATTCTGGAACCCTCTTTATACTTAGTACCTTTCTAAAGCCCCAAGTTTAGAATCGATTTTCTTTTAAAAACAATTAGCACTTAGGAAGATTTAGTGGACTTACTCAAGTAGGCTTGTGTTAAATTTGCTTTTTACATAATTTTTCCTAGGCTCAGTTGTGTAACCTTCCACAAGGTAGTCTACAGAATAAAACTAAATTACTTCCTAGTATTGAGGAGGCATGGAGCCTACCAATCCCCGCAGAGCTTACCTCCAGGCAGGGTGCCATGAACACAGCACAGCAGGTGAGAAGTTGGGTTATGTTCTGCAGGTGCCCAGCTTTAAGGGTTCTTTTCAATCTGTAGTAGTCAAGCTTATTTTAAGTAAGCATAGAAGGCTTTTATTAATGAATAATAGCCTTTTCATTTAAGTGCTAAGGGTATCTAGATCAAAATAAAATTCCCTCTGGTATGGGATGAAATTTGGGGGTACCAACTTAGAACCTTTGTGCATTTTCATGATTTTGCAAGATTTCTCAAAATAATGCTGCAATAGTTTATTTAATTTTTTTAAAGATTTTCAAAGGAAGGTACACATTCCTCCATTGATGATGATTCATTGATTTTTTTTTTGACCTTAAGTAATTGCAATCAGAGATGTCCACATAACTTTGAAAAGTATGCAGCTTATCAGTTTTATAATTTGAAGGAATGAAGTAAGAATATATAGCACCCATTTTTGTCTTCCTTCTGTGATTCTTAGGCATGTAAACCTCATCATCCAAATACTGAACCTGTATTAGGCCTCAGTCAAACACCAATTTCACAGCAGTCCTTGCCACTACACATGATTCCTCCTAGTCAAGTAGATGACCTGTCCAGTCCTGCCAAGAGGAAAAGAACATCTAGTCCAACAAAGGTATATGTCCTAGCAAAATAGAAAATCCCGGTCAAAAAGAAGGAGCTCCAACTGCCCTCTAATTGCGCAGTTTGAACATTTCCTGTCCTTTACTTTAAATCTGTGGACATCAGAATAGTAAAAGGTTTTAGTTTTCCCATCCCAAAGTCTTAGAATCATATTAAATAAAGTAGGGATAAATTTGCATTCATCAAATCATTTTATCCATTTCCCTGCCGTTAAGGTATCAGCACACTTTTCATCATCACTTTTGCCAACATTGAACTATGTTTAATAATGAACCTAGTGGATAGTGTGGTATATAGGCTAGTCATTTGGGCCATAGTTTAGGGGTGGGCTTTTTGGGGGGTGGCTTATTACAGAATCAACATTTTAAAAAATGTTATGACTGTCAAACTTAATGTGCATGCAAATTATTTTTAATGAATGTAATAATGTCTTTTTATATGTAAATATTCTAATCCATAATCTTTTGGCCTTCATTAGTTAATGTTAATCTATTGTCTTAACCAAATATTCTTTAATTTTTTTATCAATTTTCCTCAGAATTCTTCTGATAATTGGAGTGGTGGCCATGCTGCGCCCCATCCTCCTGTACAGCAACAAGCTCATTCATGGTGTTTGACACCACAGAAATTACAGGTGTGTAAAACGTGTTTTTAATAAAAGTTATGTGGCAGAAATAGTGAACTTTTAGAAATTCTTAAAGTTGAATGATTGGAAGCTTATTACATAACAAAAATGATTACACATTTACCAGAATAATGAAGATAATTCAATCTTGCTTCCCATTTGTTTCTAGTTTGTTTCTCTTTTGGAAACAGGCAAGTAACATAAAGTATGAATATAGATTATTTAGGGTAAAGTCTTCTTTCAGCTACTACTCTAACCCACTGACAACTTCTTTACCCCAGCATTACTTGTTTCTTAGTCTATTTTTGCAGAGGTGTGTTGTGTATTTACAAGTTATTTAACTTAAACCTGTGGTCCAAAAATATTAAGTGAAAATTTTCAGGAATAAATCCATGATAACTTTTAAATTATAGCATTCTAGTAGCATAGTGAAATCCTTATCTATACAGCCAGTGACATCAATTATCTCATTGTCCAATGTGTTCAGCCTGTTAATGCTAATTGGCCCCAGTCACTTAGTAGCCATCTCATTTATCAAAACAACTGTTTTAGTATCATGATTCTGGCATTAATAATAACCCTAAACCACAAAAATAATGATGCCAACATGCGTAGAATAACAAAGAGAAGACACACAAGCTTTCTCTATGCGAGCAGGTAAAAGTTCTTTATTTAATAAGAGAAAAATAGCCAAAATAATCCTATGCTTAGGTAGCTAAGGTCGGTGGTAAAGATTGCATTCTTACCTGAAGTTGTGAATGAAGAAACATTTATACTAATTTTACTGTCACACCTAATACTGCACAAGCTATCTTCACAGTGTGCAGTGGTGTTAGGACTGAAAAGGCATTAAATTGTAAGTTTAGCTTTTCTATGGTTTTTAGTAATCCACTAGGGGTCTTAAAAATGAACAGCTCCTATTTCTTTATATAGATACTACACTATTGCTTAGTTGAGCACTAGTTTTAGACATTCAGAATGTCTTCAAACTTTTCCTGTTCTAGTCAATGTTTTTTGGAGCATTTTATCTTATAAACTTGCAGTGTTTTCGTCACGAACACTAAAAGTTACTGTGTTAGTAAAATTTCATGTCCATCTCTTACAAAGATCACATTATAATAAACCATATTCAGATGAATGCTCAGTTCTACTTTGGTTTCTTGAACTTTTTTAAAAAAAACTTTTAAGATTGAATTAGGTTATTGTTGATCAGAAATCAGTGTCCAACCTGATAGTGGTTCTGAGTTTTTCTAATTAGTTCAGATAAAGGTTTCACAGATTTGTTAGCTTGCTTATTAGATATGTCTTTAATTATATTCTCCCTTTTTTTTCCCCCCTAGCACTTGGAACAGCTTCGTGCAAATAGAAATAATTTAAACCCAGCACAGAAACTAATGCTGGAACAGCTGGAAAGTCAGTTTGTCTTAATGCAGCAACACCAAGTGTGTATAGCATTTTCCCTCTAAAATTTGATAAAATTTTATGTACTTTTATTGACTACAGCATCATTTCAGAATTCACCCATACTTATGTCTACTTATATTTGGTAGAATTTTGTGGTCTGTGCTTCTTAAAATTCTAGGAAAAGGAGTTTTTAAGAAAAGAACATCTACTGATTTAATTTTAAGCTTTTTATATTATTTAATTCCATGGTATTTTATTTATGTTCTTTAGTACTAAAGAAATATACTAAAATATACTAAACCTAGTTTAGGTTTTATATGTCTTCCTTAGATTTTTGTTGTTGTTGTTGTTAATTTTTTTCATTTATTTTATAATTTGTGTTCTTTAGAGGATCTGTCATACTATAGATTCTTTGTCTTTATTATTATTGTTGTTGTTTACTTGAGATTGAACCCAGGGCCTTGTACATGTTAAAGGAGCCACCACTACGGCTAAGCCTCCTGTGTCCTTTGTCCCCTTCCCCCCAAAACATATAGATAAGGTCCAAGTTGCCTGAGTTGACCTTGAAGTTTGGATCCTTTTGCCTCCGCCTTTTAAATAGCTGGGCTTTTAGGCCTGCTCCACTAAACCCACCTTAGAATAAAAATCTGATGTTCCTTGTAAGAAGTATGAATTTCAGAATTTTCCATAGATTTCAGCTGCCCCCCCCTTTTTTTGTCATTACTAACAAGTTGTTTCCGTAACATGAAACATTTCTGCTTTTTCTAGGAAGCTTACATATAGTTTTTTGTTTTTGAAGTTGATGGTTTTTAACCTAGAGAAATGAACTGTTGAGATCAGATCAGAGCCTATGATTATTCCATCTTTACATTCTGAGTCTCTCCCCTCTGGACTATACAGACTGTATTTATTTGCTTTTCATTTGTTCCCTGCAGATGAGACAAACAGGAGTTGCACAGGTACGGCCTACTGGAATTCCTAATGGGCCAACAGTTGACTCATCACTGCCTACAAACTCAGTCTCTGGCCAACAGTCACAGCTTGCTCTGACCAGAATGCCTAGCGTCTCTCAGTCTGTAGTCCGTCCTACCTGTCCTGGGCAGTCTTTGGCCAATGGACCCTTTTCTGCAGGCCATGTTCCCTGTAGCACATCAAGAACACTGGGAAGTACAGACACTATTTTGATAGGCAATAATCACATAACAGGAAGTGGAAGTAATGGAAACGTGCCTTACCTGCAGCGAAACGTACCCACTCTACCTCATAACCGCACAAACCTGACCAGCAGCACAGAGGAGCCGTGGAAAAACCAACTATCTAACTCCACTCAGGTAATAGAAAGACTAATTGCTTTCATTGACTTCTCATATAATAATTTGTCTTTATTTGGTTTGTGCATGTTAAGTGTTTGAGGAACTATTTTTATATGAATTTATTTAGTTCTACACTGTTGTTGCTGTGTTTCAATTCATTTTATATGTATATATTTTCTTGGTAACATTTCCAGAGATGGAAATAATTGGAAAATTTACTAATGAAGAAGAAAATAAATTGCATAACCTCCCAATCCACTTCTAATTTATAGTTGCCTCATAAACAAAATGCCTATTTTTGTAGTAGTAGATAGTGATCAACATCTGGGTATAGAAAGAATGAGTATGAGAAGAGAATAAAATGACAAAATGGAGTATGAGAAAGAAAGTCTAATTTTAAGCTATCTTGATAAGCAAGAAGAATAATTGAGACTGGATAAGATTACAAAGGGTGGTAAGTGATTGAGAAAAGAATTCAAGATTGAACCATAATTTGTAATTTGCCAGACAGGAAAGTGGAGAACTGTCAAGACTAGAATAAAGGATTGAGCTGTGAGGTATTGGGCATTGAGGAGAATGTGAGCCATATCTTATATTTCAAGAAGGGATTGATTAAAATATGTATCATAAAGGACGTTAAATTCGTCTTAGTCAGTGAAGATGCATTGTGACCATGGCAATTTTTACAAAAGAAAGCATTTATTTGGGACTTGCTTACAGTTTCAGAGTCCATTATCCTTATGGTAGGGAGCATGGCAGCACACAGATAGACATGGTAGCTGAGAAGAGTTCTACATCTAGATCTGAAGGCAGCAAGGAGAGAGAGAGGTGCTGAGTCTGGCTTGTGTTCTTGAAACCTCAAAGCTCACCCTCAGTGGCACACTTTCTCCAACAAGGCCACACCTACCCCAGCAAGGCTTCACTTCCTAATCCTTTTACTCTTTTAAATTTTGTCATACCTTGGTGACTAATTTTGAATTTATGAGCCTATGGAGGCCATTCTTATTCAAACCACCACATACCAGTAAGGTATGTCATTTGAGGTGACATTCCTGGAGTTGGGAAATTAATAAATACAACCAAAATCCATACCATAACCTGTGTTATGATTTCCCTCTGCTTCTTCTTTCTAGTAGCCTGGTGCTAAGGGTGATGTTTATTTGTTGCAGTTTTAAAGAATAGAATAAAAATAAGCAAATACTCTGTTATACCAGATGAGTTACAAAATCTGACTCTATGCAGAGATGATTTGGAAACTTTTGAATAGGAGTAATTTCAGTGGATTGTTGTAGATCAAACCTAATTATGTGAAAAGGTTAAAGGGCAGATAGAACTGGAGGTGGCAGATATGAATAGTTCCCACAGGACATTTACAATCATGTAGGTTATGCACATAAGGGAGGGGGTAGCTAAAGGAGAAATAGAATTCAGATTTTGGTTTTGTTCATATTTTAAATTAAAATGCAAAACAGCAGTGAAAGCTAATGGGAAACATCGGTAGAGAGATTGACAAAATAGAGGAAAGAATTGTTAGATGAGAGGGTATGTTTGGGAATTTGGTATCTTTAAACATTAAAAGATTGTTAAGGATAACGTGAGACTTCTTTTAAAATGCTTAAAGTATAATTGGCAGTTACATAAATTGGAGCATTTGTTATGGTTATGAAGTATAGTTCTCTTATTTTTCTTCTCTACATCTCAGGCTTGCTCAATTGCTGAAATTTTCAAAAATACTCAATCTTATTTTAGAAATCTGATAAACATTAAAATAAAACAGGAAATTCTGATTGTGGTGACTCATGCCTCTCTAATCCTAACCTGAAATCCAGGAAGCTGGTGTAGGAGGAACTCAAGTTCAGGATATCCTTGCCTATGATATAGCCGTCCTCTGTCCCGGGAAACATATACTTGACCTGATCCCAATTATTTTGCAGTTCAAAAGACTTCTGTATGTCACTGAATGGCAGGGTGTCCCAATCTCTCATGCTTAGTGCCTGTAGGAACCTTACAGTATAGTTGTAATGAAGAAAACTGTAAAAATGTTGAATTAATTCCAGGTCAAAAGTTTCCCTCTTGGATTTGCTTTATAATACTGCAGCTGGAGAACTTTTGCCTCTGTTGTTAGTATGATAGATTCTAATTAGGCAAGCTTTTAAAAATTCATTATATAAACATTTTCTGAATTTGTAACTTAAAATGCCTTGATGTACAGAGAGATGATTAAATATTTTTTGTCACATTTGCATTTTATAATAGTGTATTTATTGAGAAGCCTCTCACAAATATTAAATGGAATTTTGATTCACCTAAGACTTTCTTGGATAGTTTAGTTATTGAAATACTTGTAACTTTTTTAATGAGAGTTTTCCCATATAACTTAAAGATTTCAACCTTTTTGTTTGGTTTGCTTTTTTGTTAGATATCATGTATTCAGCTTAGGCTGGCCTCCAGCTATCTAGGGATGACTGAACACTTGTTCGTCCTGTGTCTCCCTCCTGTGTACTGAGAACTAAAAATGTTGACTTCCACACTCAGCTCTGTAACTTTAGTTACTTACTTGATAATCTAATTGTTACTTTAGTTACTTACTTGATAATCTAATTATACTCTTCCATATACTGAACTATATTCAACTTGTAATGTTTACTGGGTTTTGTTTTGTGTTTTGGTAAAGTTCTTTAATACAAACATCACATTTTCATTTTTTTAAACTGATTTCAGGGTTATGGTTGCTTATTTTTACTAGGGATTAAATTTATTGTTTAATGTATCAATAGTCAGCTAATTTTTATTCCTTGATGGCTTGTTATTGCCAGGTTAAATGTCACCTGTCAAAAAAGCTCTCAACTCTGCTATTAAAGTCATTCTCAACTCACAATATAGTTCTAATTTCTTTGTTTAGTTACTAGGGATGTAAGATGAAATATGTACTTATAATTGAATGAGTCCCACACATACTGTTTTATCTGAAATTATAACAATTTTGAAACTATGAAATTATTGGTTCCCAATTCCAGTGTTAATCGTGTGGCTGAAAAATTAGCATTTCCATTTAATTCTTTTGTCAGGAAAATAAAGTGAAAATTGTGATACTGGGGGCAATTTTCAGGTAAAAATTAGACATGTTAATCTCATTTATCTTATAAGATAAAAATTCCACTAGATGTATTAAGTGATCTTCTTCTGTATTTAATACTTTTATTAACTCTAGTATACTACCCTGGCAGATATTTTCCAAAGGGTTTAACAAAGTTGATGAAAATTGCAGCTTATCTCTAATTGGCTTAGACATGATTTTTTTTTTTTTAAAAAAAAAAAGAATATATAGGTTGACTGAGCAAAAAAACTTTAATAGTGTCTTTTAACTATTTTAGTAGCTTTGTTCTAGAGGATAGGTGCTTTAACATTAGTTGCATTAGAGAGGACTATATTTACAGTAACTTTAAAGCCAAAATAAATTTACTTTCTATAGAATTAATCTCTTAATAGATAGATCACAGACCCATTAGTTGGTTTGTCATATTTCTAGTTTAATTATTAATGATATTATGTCTGTCTATGTTTGATCTTAGGAATGAAAGTACATGTTTTAAAACTTAAGTTAGCATTCCTAGTGCTTTCTGTAAACTAATGTATGCCATACTAATTAGGGAAATTCTTTTCGCTAACTCTAAGTACTTTTTTGATAACTTTAGGAACTGTGTCAAATTATACAGATAATTTTTCTTAGTGACTTTTACCTATAATACTTAGAATTCTGTGTATGCTCTGAGTTTAACATAAGATTTAAACCGTCTATTTTTCTTTTTAGGGGCTTCACAAAGGTCAGAGTTCACATTTGGCAGGTCCTAATGATGAACGACCTCTCTCTTCCACTGGGCCTTCCCAGCATCTCCAGGCAGCTGGCTCTGGTATTCAGAATCAGAATGGAAATCCCACCCTGCCTAGCAATTCAGTAACACAGGGGGCTGCTCTCAATCACCTCTCCTCTCACACTGCTACCTCAGGTGGACAACAAGGCATTACTTTAACCAAAGAGAGCAAGCCTTCAGGAAACACATTGACCGTGCCTGAAACAAGCAGGCATACTGGAGAGACACCTAATAGCACTGCCAGTGTTGAGGGACTTCCTAATCATGTCCATCAGGTGGTGGCAGATGCTGTTTGCAGTCCTAGCCATGGACATTCTAAGTCACCAGGTTTACTAAGTTCAGACAATCCTCAGCTCTCTGCCTTGTTGATGGGAAAAGCTAATAACAATGTGGGTCCTGGAACCTGTGACAAAGTCAATAACATCCACCCTACTATCCATACAAAGACTGATAATTCTGTTGCCTCTTCACCATCTTCAGCCATTTCCACAGCAACACCTTCTCCTAAATCCACCGAGCAGACAACCACAAACAGTGTTACCAGCCTTAACAGCCCTCACAGTGGGCTGCACACAATTAATGGAGAAGGAATGGAAGAATCTCAGAGCCCCATTAAAACAGATCTGCTTCTAGTTAGCCACAAACCTAGTCCTCAGATCATACCATCAATGTCTGTGTCCATATATCCCAGCTCAGCAGAAGTTCTGAAAGCTTGCAGGTTAGTGTGGGAAAGTTAATCACAGGGTGAAAATGTTTGACAATTTACCTGATCAAGATCTGGGAAATAAAAGATAGTGTTGTAATCAGTCATCCAAAGTAAAAGTTTGGAAGGTTGGTAATGTTTGAATGAAACTTTTGTAACTTAATCTGAGAGGGTGTGTCTGAATGTGTCAGTAATGTGTGCTATTACTGCCCTCTGCTGGTTACTACAGTTGCTGGCTTCAGTGTTATTGTCTGCTCTGGGGATGGAAACAAGACTCAAATGACATTTGACTAAAAAACAAGGCCTTGAAGAGCCTATTGTTTATTTTAGTTTTGAACAGAGTCCATTAAATGTTAGACTAGGGATAGACTTGAGCAATCAAGGTTAGTTTCTGGTTTACACTTCATATGACTTTAGAAGTTTTAAAGGAAATAGGAAGAAGTAAGGGACAATAGAGATATAGGACAGCCTGCTAGCCATTCATGAAAGGAAAAACATATTCATGTTAGTTTTGGAAGGCTAAACCTTCAAACTTAGGGGAAAATTAGTCTCCTAAAAGGGGAAAACATCATCATCATCAAAGGATCAGTCTGATTGGCTAGCACCATCTTTCTGTAGTATTTGGAGACAGAGATTCTTAATGGTCTTTTCATTGTGCATGGCACGTTTAAGTTTTCTTCTTGACTTGTATTTGTCATCCCCTGTGTATAAATAAATCTTGAATGTTAACACTGTTTGGAATAATCACAAGCAGGAATTCTGCATACTTTTCTAATACATTAAATTTTAAGTTGAGGCAGCGATGTAGGTTTTTAAAGGGTCTTCATTTGGTTGCGAGTTTAAGCAAACAACAGAAAATACGCATTCTGTAAATAGAAAATATAAGCATTGAGTCTGTTGACATTGACCACTTAATATAACAATTTTATTTTAAAATTTGAAACTATTCCCATTTAACTGCCAGTACTAGTGTGTCTTGTTTATTATCTAAAAGTGTCATCTTTTCTGCTGTTTAGATTGTTTTATTATACTGTATCCTGGATCTACCATTAAGTGTTTATCACTAGTGAATTGTTTTTATAAAATTGAATTTTATTTTATAGAATTTGTTGCTTATGGGTAACTTAAGGGGAAGAATTAGTTTAAAGTAAATTTGCTACTTATTGGTAACTTATTGGGAAGAATTTAGTTTAAAATAAATTTTAATTAATCTTAATTTATCACTTTAATTGTGACACTGGAACTTTAATATACTAAAGTTTTTTAAAATATTTGAGTTGAAGTGTTTAAATGTCTTCTGGCCTGTGTTTTATTATGCATTGATTGTCATTTTCTGTCAATTTTTTAACTATCAGGTAGTTACTTTTGCACTGATAAGTTTAAGCAGAAACTATGTCTATTTCTTATTATTTTCTTTGTTTAGGCCACTTTGCTGGTATTATTTTCCTGAGTGGCCTACAACATGACAACTACTCTCACTAATCTTAAATGTTTTTAATGGGGAGGCAGGGGTAGGGGAGACATGAGCAGGCTCTCTCTAGCCTTGAACTCTCTCTGAAGACCAGGATGCCTTGCCTCTGCCATCTAAGTGCTGGAATTAAAGGTGTGCTTCACCACACTTGACCAGTCCTAACTTAATGCGATTTTTTGGTTGTTGTTATTTTTTTAACACATTAGATCTCTAAATTTAAAAAAAATAAAATAAATCATGTAGTAGGGTTCCTGAACATCTAAAATTTGTTTTGGTGGTTTGTATGTGTGTGTGTGTGTGTGTGTGTGTGTGTGTGTGTGTGTGCTTTTTTTTTTTTTTTTTAGAAATTTTGAATTTAGAGGTATTAGTCTTTTTGTCTACAAGTTACTATCATTCACTTCAACATTGGACCCCTCTAAGTGTCCAGTTCAGTAGCCATAGCTGATTCTGGAGACACAGTACCTTGATTCCATTCCAGTATGCTTACCTTCTGTCTGCCTCTCTCTTGACTGATCTGCTCTCTGCCCTCCTTTTCTAGTTCTCTTTCTACTCTGCTAAAGCAGGGGCTTGTCCACTCTCTCGAGACACTCAGGACATTTTTTTTAACTACAGTAACAAAATAAAAATAGGGAGAAACCGAGATGTCATTTAAAGGGGCGATTCTGGAACTATGTTATGGCCCACAAGTTATGAGCAATGTGAAAGAGCAGTTTTTGTTAATAAAATTTTATGCTCTGAGGTACCTAGTTGATTGTATTTTTTTTAGTGTGTTAAGGATGATGCTCTTTTATCTTATTTTTTGTTGCTGATGGAGTCATTAGGACATTCACTTGAGTATATTCTAATAGTTTTGTATTAAACTTAATTTATAAAAAACAATTTTGCCTCATTATAGATACGTTGTGTTGTAAGTAGCTAGATACACAAAAACACTGGGCTATTTCAACCAATCTTGGCATGAATTTGTTAAATGATGAGCTAAGAATTCACATCTTTAAGTTGAAGATCAATCTTCTGAAACTTAAGGAAAAGAAATCTTGTTTACAAGTAAGGGGGTGTTTGATAGTAGCCTGTACTGGCTGGCATAAGGCTCCCAGAAAGTCACACAGGCATGGCATTAAGAGACCTGGGATCTATGGTTTAGGAGCTTTTTAGAGAAGATTGGAAGAATATTTGGTTTACTCACAGAACACTTTACCATAATTTCTCTACTAAGTATGGTTGTTCCAAAATGGGAGAAAACTATTTAAAATGATGTGTTTTTTGAATCTTCTCTGTCGCCATCTTATTTCATAACTTTGCTTTCCATTTTTCTGTCCACTTTGGATTATTAAGATGAAATTTCATTATATCTGGCTTAAGGTATTCTAAAGCAGTGTTCAGAAGATGACGTGAATACCTGGTATCTAAGTATCTATTAAGATTGTTTAGTGTAGTTAAGTAGGAAATGTTTATAGTCTCTTATGACTGTATGCATCTGTTTTAGAGAAATTTCTGTCTGTTTCAGACTTCCTTTTAATAGGCAGATAATTTTTGAAGCACAGTAAGAAACTATTAATATGACCTATTGGGACTTTTTCTTGGTTGCGCTAATGTATTAACCTTGAATGGGAAAGATTCTGATGATAGAAAGGCAATTACAACTTATTCTTGTATTTAGATAAAGAAATCACAAACAAAATAAGGAATGTTTTCTATGCTCCACATGTGCCTTTATTTTACTTCAGTGCAAGATATAGTAATCAAATTAAGTATTTGCAGAAATAATTTTTCTTGTTGTTCCCACTGGATCCAAAATTCATGGATTTATAAAAATGCCTATTCATTTCATTAGAAGTTAGTTCAGAAATTTTTTGCCCTCTATGTAAATGTAAAGCTGATTTTTTTTCCTCTTTTCTGTTATTTTTAAAGGAATCTAGGTAAAAATGGCCTGTCTAACAGTAGCATTTTGTTGGATAAATGTCCGCCTCCAAGACCGCCATCTTCACCATACCCTCCCTTGCCAAAGGACAAGTTGAATCCACCTACTCCTAGTATTTATGTGAGTCTGAATTGACTGACTAGATTTCAGCCAAACCAATGTTTACTTCTAATTGTCTCTTGTAAAAATCTTTTAGGTCATCATGGATACTCTTTAGTAAATATTACAAATTATTAACAGCAGTGTGAATATTAAGCAACAACATAAAAGATGTATTGAAAAAGATTTTATGCTATTTCGTAAATACCTGCTCAGCTATTAACTATGATTATATTAGAAAATTTGGTTTCTTGCTTTGTTTTGTTTGTTGTTGTTTTGCAGTGCTAGAAACTAAACCCAGGGCTTTGCATATTCTGGTCAAGTACTCTATAACGTTGCTACTATGTACCCATCTTTCCTCTCTGACTATAGGCTGGACTAGAATAAGTGGGAAACACTTTCTCTGCCTTAATTTTGAGCAGTATTAAGCCAAAGCTACTTGGAATTAGTTAGCTTATTTTTTTTTATAAACTGGGTTTTAAGTCTACTAATTGTTGGACCTTGGCATTCATTCTGTTTCATATATATGCTAAAAAAAATACCTTCAAATTAAACAAAGCAAAAAAAGTAGACATTTTAAGAATGTCATTGGAGCTGGAAAGATGGCTCAGCAATTAAGAGCACTTGTTAATCTTCCAGAAGGCCCAGGTTCCGTCACCTATACCCACATGATGTTTCAACCATCCTTAACTCACAGGAGATCTGATACCCTCTTCTGACCTCCATGGTACCAGTCATTCACGTGGTATCTATATACACAGGCAAAATACTCATATACATGAAATAAAAATTGATTTTTAAAACCAGCATGCCTAGATTTAAAAAATATGTGATAATAGGTAGATATGTGTCACCAAAAATCTTTGTAAACTATTTATCATATTTAAAACTATCACATTTTTCATAGATCCTTTCTCTCGCTCTCTCTCCTTTTGTTTGCTTGTTGTTTTTTGGTGTTTTTGTTTGTTTTTCAAGACAGGTTTTCACTTTAACAGCCCTGGCTCCCTGGCAGCCCCAGAACTAGCTCTGTAGACCAGGCTGGCCTAGAACTCACAGAGATGTGCCTGCCTCTGCCTCCTGAGTGCTAAAATTAAAGGTGTGAGCCACCACTTCCAGCTATAAAAGCAATTCTTAATTGTGTTTTTCACAAATAAGTCCTGCTGCTACTGTATTGTCTTCCTACTACCTTCCCATGTGAAAGAAAAAAAATTAAATACACAAAGTTATAGTGATATAGTTTAAATGGCCATACATCTGTGAAAATGATTCTTGAATATGTTTGAGAAATTTTGATTTCTTCCTCTTGACTTTTTAAGCATATGACAAAATTCACCATCTCTGCCCTAACTGAGTTAAGTAGTGTTATAAACACACTCATGTTGTTTTTATAACCTCTCTTGAGAATTTATTTTCTGGCCAAAATGTCTAACCATGGAACATCTCTTTTCCCCATTTCCTTAAGTCCTGGCTGTCACAATTCTGTTTTCATGCATTTCACTACTGTATATAATGGAACCACAATTTTTTCTATGACTAACTTAATTTATCATGCCCTCAAGGTTAATCCACATGACAGGATAATTGATCAATTAACTTGGGTAGTGGTGCTAGTGTTAGTGTGTTGACATACTAATGCAACTATTGTACCACCAAACTCTGTCTCCTCTCTGTAATTGTTTCATTTATTGCCTGGTTTCCTCCTGCTAGCGATGAATCCTAGGCTTTTTAAGTAGTCTACCATTGAGCTTCATATTCTATCCTTTAGCAAGCTTCCAATCTTGCCTGATAATTTATTTACCTAAGTAACGTTACATCAAGAATGTATGGAATCATACAGAATCTCTTTAAGATTCATTTTTATTTTTAATTATGTGAATGGAAGATTAAGTGAGTGTAGGTGATTACATGTAAGTGTAGGTGTTCCCAGGAGCTGGAGTTACAGGTGAGCCATAGGTCTGGGAATCAAGGTCAGGTCATTCTTCTGCAAGAGCAATAAGTGCTCATAATGACTGAGCCATCTCTCCAAGCAAAAACGATTTTATTTTTGGTCAAAGGGGCTCACTCTATCATTCTAACTGATCTCGAACTTAGAGATAGACCTACTTCTGACTCCTGGGTACGGGGATTGAAGATGACTGCCATCACTCTCAGCTTCTGTATAGGATCTTTTAACTCTTACGTTTTTGTTTTTCAGTAGAGGCAGTATTGAAGATTAAACTTAGAACCCCTGGATGTCAGAAACACTATCATGAACCTACAGCCCTACTCATACTTTGTGATTTCTTGCTCTCAGGGATGCTGGATTGAAGGTCTTAATGGAGGCTGAACCATTCTTCCTACCTACCCACTCTTGCTCCTTGTTTTTCTTCCTTTTTAAGGTCCAATTATACTTAAAGCACTTTGGTTTTGAAATTTAAATGTAATTTCTGTTGCATACATGTAGTACACAAAAATATATGTGGTTAGTTACTATCTAGTCATAATTAAAACCAAATGCAAAAGTACTAGAAAATAGAAAAGAAATATAAACGCATGAATAGATTGATAGGCAATGAATCTGAGACATAATATTTAAGTTAAAAGCTGTATTTTCCTGAGATGTAACCACAGATTTTAATTTTACAGTTGGAAAATAAACGTGATGCTTTCTTTCCTCCATTACATCAATTTTGTACAAATCCAAACAACCCTGTTACAGTAATACGTGGCCTTGCTGGAGCTCTTAAATTAGGTACGCTTAAGGAAAAATGTTTTCTATGCATGCTGTCTTTTAACCTTTGAAAACATCAGTAGAGAGTATCGTTACCACCCACCATTCACATATACACATTTTTATTCTAATGTGGATGGAGGATTATGATTAATTTTACTTGAGGGTCATGATTTAAATGCATAATGATGATGATGTTTGTTGCTGGTACTTTAGGAGTATTTTTTTAATTTAACTTTTATCTAGCTTTATAATAGTGACTTATATTTACTACTAGGAAAATTTTGAATATAAAATGTAAGTGAAATTTAGTGTACTCTTCACATATTGTACTATAGCCCCATTGGTATTTGCTAGTGCCTACACAGATTAAGTACATGAAAAGTTTGACCATTGGACTCTTGACTCTTTCTTTGTTGGAACACCATGAGCATTGGGAATACCTAGACCTTCAGAGTGTATAGATGACCTAGTCAGATTTTAGGGGAACTTGATATATTACTATAAAATGCTTTCTCTTTTAAAAAACGGTGAGGGGCAGGAGAGCGTGTTGGATGCATTTTTGTTTTGCTTTTGTTGACTTTTTTTATTTATTTATGGCTTACTTGTAATAAAGACCTGGGACTTTTCTCTACTAAAACTTTGGTGGAAGCTAACAATGAACATATGGTAGAAGTGAGAACACAGTTGTTACAACCAGCTGATGAAAACTGGGACCCTACTGGAACCAAGAAAATCTGGCATTGTGAAAGTAATAGATCTCATACTACCATTGCTAAATATGCTCAGTACCAAGCGTCCTCATTCCAAGAATCATTGAGAGTAAGTGTTTGCTTCCTGGAGATTATTTTTAGAGATTTTAAAATTATTTCATTTTGAAGTTTTGAAAGTAGGATGTCATCAGATTATATTATGTTACATAAAACATAATAATAAGCGCTACCCAGTTTACTTTAAACAAACCTGTGAGTTGATTCAGTAAGTATTGTTCAGAGAGGGAATTACTGTCTAGTAAGGTATTTCTCAGGTTATCTGGAACATTTATAGTTAAAGCGGGGAAAGCTGCTATTGACAATTTGAGTTGAATATTTCTTCGTTTGTGGGGGCTATTGTGTGTGTTATAAGATATTTAGCAACATCTGTGTCTGTCTTTTCAAAAACACTTAGCGCTATGTCAAATATTTCCTGGAAGACAAAGTTCCTTATTGAGAATCACTGACTTGAAGGCTAGACCTGTTTTTAATTTGCTTTATGTTTGAAGTATTTCTCATCTTGTGCACTTGCATTTATTCTTTTCTTCTGCCAGATCAGGTAGACAACTCTTTCAGGAAGTACTTGTGTTCTTCCTTCCAGTCTTAGCTCATATAAGAATACTGAAGAAGAGGTATAAACTGAGAGGAATCATTTCAACATATATAGAAATTTTAAAATCTGAAATTTAAAACTAATCAAAATTATTATTAAAAGTCCCATATAGTTGTTATATCTTTGAAACATTACTAAAATTATGTATCATAATGAGAGCTTTGTGAGTTCTCCCACAAATTAGAAATAAAACATCCACAGAAGTGAGTTTGAAATATTACTCTAATACTGCCTTGTGCTGAGTTGTTTGTTCATATCTTTTGCAGAGGAAATTTAATTTAGTTTACTAGATTTGCTTATCTCTTTAAAAATATTTAAAATGTTTCTCTGAGTTTACATTTTCAGTCCAGACAACCTTTTTACATGAAATTATGTATTTGGGTTACTGTCTTAAGTAGAGTTTCTTTTTGCTGAATTGAAACACCATGACTGAAGCAACTTGGGTAGGAAAGGGTTTATTTGACTTACTACATCATCAAAGGAAGTCAGGGCAGGAACCTGGAGGCAAGAGCTGGTGCAGAGGCCATGAAGTGATGCTGCTTAATGACTTGCTTCTCCCTGACTTGCTCACCCTGCTTTCTTATAGAACCCAGGACCACCAGCTTAGGATGGCACAACTCAAAATGAACTAGGCCCTCCCCCATCAGTCACTAATTAAGAAAATGCCCCACAACCATAAGGAATCTTACAGAAACATTTTCTCAGTTGAGGTTCCCTCCTTTTAGATAACTCTACCTTCTTTCAAGTTGACATACAGTAGCCACTTCCACTGTCCCTTTTTATAAACTAAATCTGTCCTGCAAATTGCATTGAGTTACAGTGAATTACACTGGTTTTCTCTCCTTGCAAATAGAGCTAGTGTGAAAATCTGTCATTTAGTAGCATGGGGAAAGATTCACCAGATATGTGGAATACTAAGCTAAAATGCCTTGTACTAATTTTTAGGAAGAAAATGAGAAAAGAAGTCAGCATAAAGACCATTCTGATAATGAATCTACGTCATCAGATAAGTAAGTCATTTTTCATTTCTACTTAATATTTCTGTTTAAAAGATACACTTGAAATTTTGCTTCTTTCTTTTTAAGTTCAGGGAAAAGGAGAAAAGGACCCTTTAAAACCATTAAGTTTGGGACCAACATTGACCTGTCTGATGACAAAAAGTAAGTCCTTGTGATAGTTCTGTGAACTGATGCAAAGACGTGTCCTTGCTCTGATTCAGAATTGTTTACAATCTCTTCTGTTTTATTCCTTATCATTTTTTTATAAATTGATGTAAGATAAACTAAATAATTTTACTAGATTTTACAGTTAAATTATTTTTTTAATTTAAGACTGTTATATCCTTCTTTTTCTACTGATACCCTAACTTTATGGTAGGTAATTTTTCATTATGTTCTAGGTCTATAATTTTAATGCTATTTTTCATTGGGAAGTTAATTTAGATATTCCATTATTTCTTATTTGAAAGTAAAATGTTTATAGTTTTTTTTTCTCATTGGAACATAAAAGCAGGGCATTACTTTTTTTTTTTTCTTTTTCTTTGTAGGTGGAAGCTGCAGTTACATGAGCTGACGAAACTTCCTGCTTTTGTGCGTGTAGTATCAGCAGGAAATCTTCTAAGCCATGTTGGTCATACTATACTGGGCATGAACACAGTTCAACTATATATGAAAGTTCCAGGAAGCAGAACGCCAGGTAAACTTAACTAATATATGATAAAAGATGATGCATATGAAGAGAATCAGAATCTTTTCATTTAAAATGAATAGAACTAAAAATGATTATTCTTATAAGATTTGATGCTTTTAACAGGACTTAGGTCAAGATTTTTTTTTCCCTTTGATATCTCTCAAATCTGGTATTAATATTTTGTTTTTAGAAGTTCATTAGAGCACCCTGTGGTCCAACAACTGTTGTTTCTGCAATACTTCTAAAAATGGCGTGTGTACAGTGTTTTGTAACAGTTTTTAAAATCACAATCATAATAGAATGTCCTTACTTTATATCATGGCCTAGTCATGTATGTGACAACAGCTTCACTTGAAAAATACATTTCCCTTTCTGTTTAGTTTTAAAAAGAAACTGATTACAATCCTCTGGTTAGGTTGAAAATGATAGTTTCAAAAGCATTTAATATGGAGCAGTTACTTGACTCATCCTGTGGACTTTTGCCACTCTGTGTACTTTTGCAAGTAATATTCTTTCTTTGAATTGTTTTCTTCATGTCAAGTGGTTTAATTTTTAGCTTTTATGTTTCCATCTGTCACTAATGTATTTTCCTCTTCGGGGCCCATGGATTGACATGAAACTGCAGAGTAATATTTTGAAATATTTAACAATCACTATAATCCTAGCATCAATGAATTAGTACAGTTACTGATAAGAAATAAAGTACTTATAGGTTGCATGTCTCTGTCATGTATTTTCAGTCTTTTACTTGAAGTAAACCTAGCTTAAAATCCAAACTGTTTTTTCTCTTTGTCACCTTAATGAATCATAGCTTAAGAATCATTTCAAAATAAACCATGTTGCTTTTGACTAATAGAAATCATTGGTTGCTATCTCTGACTGTCCAAATTAATCTCTTTTGTAGACTATGTAATCCTTCTTTGGAGATGTGTGATCTAAGAATGAGTATTATTAAGCCAACAAACAACACCAATTGTTTTCCAGGGGAATCTATGTACAGCCAGTATTAAAACCATTGACTGCATTTTTATTCTCGTGTCATTTCATAGTTTGATAAAGGACAAAAAATTCTGGCATCAATGGCAAGAGAACCATATTCTACTTTCTGTTCCATCGTTAGACAGCCATATAAATATTGGGCAAGCTATTTGAACTCACTGATTTTCTTCTGTCTTTAGTATCAGATTCATTCTGTTTTAAAAACTATCCGATTTGAAATATTTTCTGCAAATAATATGCCATAGTTGAAAAGAATTTTTTATTATAAATCTTAGGAAAGAATAAGTATGGAGAATATTTGTTGCTTGTGCCTATACAGTTCTGAATATTTTTTAATGTTTTGTTACATTTATTGTCTATGTCCACATATGCTTGCACAAGTCTGCATATATGTGCCATGGCATACATGTGGAAGTCAGAAATAACTTGCCAGAGTCAGTTTCTGTCCTTTTACCATGTGGATCTAGAGGACTGAGCTCTGGTTGTCCTGCTTGATTAATAACAAACATTTTTATGTGCTGAGCAATGTCACTGGCCCTGGACTCCCATGCTCCACTTGTACATTTTTATTTGCTGGGGGGGGGGTCAGAAGGCTCTGAGGAATGCTAAGTACCAGCACTAGAAAACATTTTTTTATCTTCTTTAAATCATTTTAATATTAATCTAAATATAGATTCCATGCATAAAAGAAAATGTGATACGTGTCTTCCTTAAACCTGCTCATGTCACATAGCATAATAATCTCCAATTCCATCTATTTTCCTGTGAGTGTGGTAATTTCATTCTTACAGCTGAGTAAAATTCATGTTCTGTAGGTGTAGTATGGTTTCTTTAATTCCTTTATCTAGGCTGGTTCCATGTATAAATAGTGCAGCAGTCAGTGTGAACATTACAGCGTGAAGATCCAGAAGTTGTGCTTGTAGTTTTTGAGGAATCTCTATACTGATTTCTATAGTAGCCATACTGGTTTACATTGCCATCAGAAGTGTATAATATATACACTATATATTATGTGTATAATATATACACTATATCCTCACCAGCACTTTTTATCTCTTGATTTCTTCATACTCATTCTGTCTAGGTTGAGAGACAGCAATTTCAAAGCAGTTTTAATTTTGCGTTTTCCTGATGTCTAAGGATGCCTAACAGTTTTTTAAGAATTTATTTGCCATTTATATTTTTTTCTTTTAAAATACTACTTCATTGGCCCATTTTATTGGATGAGGAGGAAGAAGAATTTAATATTTTTGATTCTTTATATTACATAGTAATCCCCTGTCTGAGGTCATTGGTAACAACTTTTTTTCTACTCTCTCAAAGAAATTACCTGAAGAATTCCTTGAAGGTAGTGGTGTCCAATATAATGTAAAATATAATGCAAATTATATATAAGTTAAAAAGCCATTTTGATACATTAAAGCCCGGAGAGTAAATGAAGTTAATTTTTCCCTATTACACCCAAAATATAAACATATGATCAATACAAAATTACAAAGATGTTTCACATTTTTTTCTACCATGTATTTGAAATCTAGTGTATACTCTGCAATTGCTACCACTTCCAACTCACATTTTAAAAAGTTTTTTTTGTATTAGAGTGCATGGTCTTATAAGAAATGTGTATAGTTTAATCAGTACAATATAAGAAATAACATTTTTTTGTGTCTTGTATTAAAGTTGTTCTGGAGTTACATAAGTACAAGTGTTTTACAATCAGACTGCATATTTTAAACTACAGGGTTGTGTTTAGGTTTTACTCTTAAAGAATTTTGTGTAGTCAATTAAAGTTTATTTAGTAGCTCTGACTGTAAATAGAGCCCATTTTTATTTAGGATCCATACTGTGGGACATTTCCAAATATATACTTAAAGTAGCTACTAAGTACTTATTGCTTGCCTTGAGATGACGTAGAACAAGAAGTCCTTGCCTCAGTTCCTTGGTGACTCCTTCGTTAAGTGAAAATAAAACAAAATAATAACTCTTTGAGAACAAAGTTTGCTTTCCTCCATCTAGAACAAACAGGGACCTAGGTACTACACCAAAAATACAAATTTTGTGTTTTAAATTCATCAGTTAGCGAGCAATGCAGGGAAGGCAAGATATAAAATATTATACTATAAATGTCTACTAATGTTAAGTTACCTTCCTTTTGGTTTTTATTTCATGACAGTCAACCTATGATTATCTCCGTGTGTTCTAATAAAGTTGATCTTTATGTATGGAGAAAGAGGGAGGATCTCCTCTATTTTGATATTTTCTGCTGCCACCAGTCCAAGTCCTCTGCAAGAGCACAATGGACTCTTAACCACTGAGGCATATATCTGACCTAAGTAGCTATGTTTTTAAAGCCAGGCTTTGTTCACAATGAAAAAGAAAAAAAGTAATGACATTTACAACTAATGTATATTGTTTATTAGACATCATTCTAATCATTTCATTCATCTTCAAAATAATAATTTTATAGAAATTGTTAATATTTATTCTTATTTCTAGGGAAGGTGAGCTAAAAATGTTTTACAGCTTGCTTTGGTTAATGTTATAACTGATTCAGGCAACCTATTAGAACCTAAACTCTACTTAGTTAGGAGTAGTTGACCTAACTCAGACATAAAGCCAGACTTAACACTATAAAGAACTGAATCTTTAACATTGTCTATTTAACATTTTAAAGGTTTCATGTCTAAAGACCCATTTTCTATAGAATTAATAGTATGTTGATTTATTTTTCTTTTTGCCTTTTAGGTCATCAAGAAAATAATAACTTCTGTTCAGTTAATATAAATATTGGCCCAGGTGACTGTGAATGGTTTGTTGTTCCTGAAGGTTACTGGGGTGTTTTGAATGACTTCTGTGAAAAGTAGGTTTTCAAACTGAATTTTGAAATTCAGTTTTGAAATAATTTAAGCATAATTATTATAAAACAGTATTGTAAAGGACAACTTACCAAACTCAATAGCCTAATGTAGATAAATACACTCATCTTTTAGTTACCATTTAGTGGAAAATTTTGTGTTAAATTGATTCCAAACCTATTACATTATGAGAAAACTTTTAAAGGTATCATGAAACCACTCTATGAAATATAGTAGTAGGCATGTGTTTAGAGGTTAGAAATTTTGAGTTATTAGTTTCATTTTTAAAAATGATATATTCAAATACTTATTTATAAGGCATTTGTTCTTAGAAAAATTTTCATAAATGTTTTCAGAAAGTAAAGGAAACTCTAAGTGGATATGCTTATTAGGAATAACTCAAGCTTGAACATATTACTCTTTGCCATGTCATGATATAAATTGTTTTTAAAACTGGCATCTTTTTCTAAAAAAGCTTTTTATAAAACTTAACTGCTTCAGGTTTTGTTTCAAGAATATGTATAGTAAATCTTTGCTTTTCTTTAAGATACTAGAAATAGCCATTCTTTATGTGTTTTGTTTTATGTTAAGAAGTGCTTTGAATGCTTTTTAATTGATTTAAATTTAGTATCTCTAGATAGAAGTGTTACTCAATTATGTAAGCTTCTGATATTTTCATTTAGTAATTCTTATGAAATAAAAATTAAAAACAAATTATTAATGTGCTATTTTGCCCCTATTTCAGTTAAATGTGGAGGGAAGGGCTACTGAAAGTGTGTATTATGAAATTTGAAAACTAATTATAGACATATTCCTTATGTTAACATGTAATTTCTAATTTTGCTTTATTAATCTTTGCTGTAAATACTTGGTTAATTATGACATGTATCATATTTGGAAATTTTTTTAAATCCCTAAATTTTTTTTTAAATTTAGAGGGATAATCACCATATATTGACTTCACTAACACATTTCATTCTGTTCAAGAAAATTAGATATAGAATTTTACAGATTCAAATGTATTGTTGAAGTAACTTGCTCTACTTAATACCATGTCTTGTTGATTAATTGGGGTTGCTTGCCTGATTTTAGTTAGAATGTTTTCTCCGGTTTTATGATGGCACCACAAGACTAAAATAGGGTTAAGATTTGTTTTAATAACTTTGCTTTATAGGGAACTGTAGTTGTTCAACCTTATTACAGATTCCTTGTTTAAGAGAAAAAAACATGAAAACACACAATTCAGGATGTATAGCAGTCAGAGAAAAACTTAGAACTTGAAGAAGTCTGTTTTCTCCTTTACCTTTCAGGAATGACAAATCTTTACAGTAACAAGAGCATTATCCCATAGCTTATCCCCCTTTTTCTCTTTTCAAAACAAAACCCCTGAATCTAATCTCCTTTGTTTAGCTTTTTTCCTGACCTTTATCCATTAACAGCTTGAAACATACATGCTAAACAAAGACAAATATTCATAATCCATTTTTTGAGAATGTAGGTGTATTTTCTGGGCTACTTCCTGCTGACTGGAGGCACTGATAATCTTATGGGAACCCAAAGAAAAAGTTATTTTTTTATTTTTATTATTTTAGGCAAAAGGGGGAGCTATAGTAATATTTTATTTATGCTTTATAAATAAAGCTTGCCTGGAGACTTAGTGGTAAAACAAAGCCACTAAAAGCTAGACAGTGGTGTCATACACCTTTAATCCCATGATTTGGGAAACAGAGGCAGATGGATCTCTCTGAGTTCAAGGCCTCCCTGGACTACACAGATCAATACAGAAAAAGATCCAGATGATGGTGTCTCATTCCTTTAATCCCAGCACTAGAGAGAAATGTATGCCAGGATGAAACAGGAACTTGTTCTCTTTCAGTCTGAGGATTTCTAGAGGTAAGAGCTCTCTAGTGGCTTGACTGCTTGCTTTGCTTTTCTGATCCTCAGGTTGAACCCCCATATTTGTCTCTTGGTTTTTATTATTCATGCTTAATTAGCTGATCTTCTAAACCATATGGAAATTGTCAAATTTTACCCTTTTTCTCCTTATGAGTCAAAGCAGCAGTACCCTTTCTCAAATTGAGTGGAGTTTCTGGTACTTAAATATATTGGTCTTATTTATATAAATAGATTCATCTCCATTTTTTGTCTTTTAGTGATTTCCAGGTACTGTAAGAAAAAGAGAAGGGTTCCGTGACTAAAAGTGGAGTGGGACTTAATAAAATGATATTAGAAGTTAAAAATATGTGCTACTTCAAAGTAGCTACAGATTTTCACTTGAATCTTGAAGAAATAAATTCAAGCTAGTAATGCTATCTTTATATAAGTCTTCCTGTACTTTACTAAATTTAATTTTACTCTTTACATGCATATAGCAGCTTTTATTACTCTATCAGTTAAATTTTATTGAAATTAATTAGCATTAAGAAACTTTTGACATTCTTTTATAATTTATTAGAGCCCTTGATCCATTTGCTCTGTTTTTCTTATTTCAGAAATAACTTAAATTTCTTAATGGGTTCTTGGTGGCCCAACCTTGAAGATCTTTATGAAGCAAATGTTCCAGTGTATAGGTTTATTCAGCGACCTGGAGATCTGGTTTGGATAAATGCAGGCACTGTTCATTGGGTTCAAGCTATTGGCTGGTGCAACAACATTGCTTGGAATGTTGGTCCACTTACAGGTATTTTAAAAGAATATGCTTGAAAAAAAGACTTGACCTTTTTAAAAAAAACTAATAAATGTATTTAGAAGAAAATTACTCCTTTTTATTATAAATTTTTATTATAAAAGTTAAATGCTAGTTAACTATTGAATCTAAAACCATAAATCCTTAGCAAACAAAAGGTCTATATAGTTAGATACATGGAAGATATATTTGTAATAATTTTTTGAGTCCTTGATTTTGCTTTATAAAGGAACCTCTTAAGGGAGAAAAAAACTAAGTAAAAATACATTCTTATAGATTTTTCTTTTTTCTCCTGTATTGCTTTGTGAAATACAATTTGAATTATGCCTGTCTTAATCCTTAGAGATTAAGAATGTGGCCTTTGGAGCCAGAAAGACCTGGATTTAGACTAGGACTTGGCTTTTGTAAGTTTGGGCAAGTTACTTGATTTCTCCAGTCCTTGATTTCTTCATCTAATGATGAAAATAAAATTAATAAGGAAATGCTAAGAATTAAATAAGATAATAGATTAGAAAATTATCACAAAACATAAAAATTATTTTTATAAGCCGGGCAGTGGTAGCACAAGCCTTTAATCCCAGCACTTCCAAGGTAGAAATAGGGGATCTCTGAGTTCAAGGCCAGCCTGGTCTGTGGAGTGAGTTTCAGGACAGCCAGAGTTATACAGAGAAACCCTTGTCTCGGGGGTGGGGGAAGAATTAATGTTTTCTTGTAGTGCTTTGAGATTTTCATGAGGTGATAATGGTTATCCTCACATCTTTTGATAGTTTAGTTTTTTTTCCCACCCCCCCCCCCCCAGCCTGCCAGTATAAGTTGGCAGTGGAACGGTACGAATGGAACAAATTGCAAAGTGTGAAGTCAATAGTACCCATGGTTCATCTTTCCTGGAATATGGCACGAAATATCAAGGTTTCAGATCCAAAGCTTTTTGAAATGATTAAGTAAGTGCTTTCTAATATTGCTGTACTGAACTCTTGCGGGGGGGGGGGGTGTTCACTGTCAAATACTTTTTCCCCCTTAGAATTATGTTCACATTTAAAACAAGGTGATCCAGAAGTCTAGCAAAATGTGAGAATCTGCTTGTTTACAAATACAGTTCCCTTCCAAATAGCTTGCTATGGTTTAAAAAGGAATAAAGTTATAAATTGTCCTACAGCAGAAGATTCACTTTATAATGCTTCCCCGCTCTTCTCAATGTTAAATGTTTGCTTTTAGTCACTGAAGGGAAAAAAAAATCACAGAATAATTGTTATAGAGAAGGTAATATAGGGAGTTGACTGAAATGTCAGTTTTCCAGAGTTTTCATTTAATTATCTTATAATTGTTCTCCATATTTTAGCTGTTTGCACTTTGAATACTAGTAAATCATTGTCAGGTTCTACTTAGAAGTAATATTTTTGAACAGTTTTTGTTTTGTTTTTCTTTTAAATAGTGTAAATTCCACTACCAAAAGATAGGAAATTCTGGTCAAAAAAATATGAGAAGTGAGGGCTGGGGTGATGGTTAAGTCGGAAAATTTCCCATTGTGTAACCATGAAGTTCTGCGTTCAGATCCTTAGAAGCCAAGTCAAAAGCCTGGGTATGGCAGCTGCTGTCTTAGCACTTGCTGGCAGAGACTGCCAGAACCCTGAAGTTCTTTGGTCAGCCAGCCGAGCTGAATTGATGAATTCCATATTCATTGAGAGACCCAGTCCCAAAGTACAGGTGAAGAACCTTTTGAGAAAGACACCTGACATGAACATGCATGTGCATCAACATCTACAAAGATATATACATAAATATTCATATACAAAAGATACATAGAAAATGATGGATTTAATTGAGTCCTTTAAAACCTAAATCCAAATTTTATATGTAGCCAAGGTAACATGTCTGTGAACTTTCATACAGCACTTTTTTATTATTTGTACTATTTTACCTCATTCTAAGACCAGGTAAAATATATATGAAGAGAAATAGGAATAAAATCAAAGTATAACATGTGCTTATAATGCTTTTATATATTGAATACTAGGCACCATATTTACCGTATGATCATGGCTGGGAGTTGTCTTTAACCTGCTATGTCTCAGAACAGCTAGTTTGCTTACAATAGCAAATTCATTGCTTGTTGATTGGGGTTTTTTGTTTGTTTGTTTGGGGGGGTGTTTTTTTAAATTTTTTTAAATGTAATTTATTTATTAAAAATTTCAACCTCCTTCCCACCTCCATTTTTCCTCCCCCTCCCCACCTCCCTTTTTCCTCCCCCTCCCCACCTTCTCCCTCTCCAGTCCTAAGAGCAGTCAGGGTTTCCTGCCCCCTGGGAAGTCCAGGGTCCTCCCCACTCCATCCAGGTCTATGAAGGTGAGCATCCAGACAAACCAGGCTTCCACAAAGCCAGTACATGCAGTAGAATCAAAACCCAGTGCCTTTGTCCTTGGCTTCTCAGTCAGCCTTCATTGAAAGCCACATTCAGAGAGTCCGGTTTGATCACATGCTCCATCAGTCGCAGTCCAGCTGGCCTTGGTGAACTCCCATTAGATCAGTCCCACCGTCTCAGTGGGTGGATGCACCCCTCACTGTTCTGAATTCCTTGCTCGTGGTCTCCCTCCTTTTGCTTCTCATTTGGACCTTGGGAGCTCAGTCCAGTGCTCCAATGTGGGTCTCTGTCTCTGTCTCTGTCTCCATCCATTGCCAGATGAAGGTTCTATGGTGATATGTAAGATATTCATCAGTGTGGCAATGGGACAAGGCCAGTTCAGGCACCCTCTCCTCTGCTGCCCAAGGAACAAGCTGGGGACATCCCCTTGGACCTGGGAACCATTCTAGAATCAAGTCTCTTGCCAACCCTAAAATGGCTCCCTTAATTAAGATATTTACTTCCCTGCTCCCATATCTTCCATCCCACCCATCCCATTTCCCTAAGCTCTCCCCAATCCTCCCCTTCTCCCTTCTCTCTACCCATCTCCCCTTACAGCCCCCCTCCCCCCGTGCACCCAAGTTTTGCCTGACAATCTTGTCTACTTCCAGTATCCAGGAGGATAACTAAATGATTTTCTTTGGGTTCACCATCTTAATTAGCTTCTCTAGGATCACGAATTACAGACACAATGTCCTTTATTTATGGCTAGAATCCACTTATGAGTGAGTACATACCATATTCATCTTTTTTGGTCTGGGTTATCTCACTCAGTAAAGCGTTTTCTATTTCCATCCATTTGCATGCAAAATTCAAGATGCCATTTTTTTTTTTTTTTTACTGCTGAGTAAAGCTCTAAAGTGTATATGTTTCACATCTTCTTTAACCATTCTTTGGTTGAGGGGCACCTAGGTTGTTTCCAGGATCTGGCTATTACAAATAATGCTGCTATGAACATAGTTGAACAAATGCTTTTGTAGTATGATTGGGCATCTCTTAGGTATATTCCCAAGAGTGGAATTGCTGGGCCCTGAGGTAGGTTGACTCTCAGTTTTCTTAGAAACTGGCACACTGATTTTCAAAGTGGCTGCACAAGTTTGCATTCCCACCAACAATGGATGAGTGTTCCCCTTACTCCACATCCTCTCCAGCATAAGTTATCATTGGTGTTTTTTATTTTAGCTATTCTGACAGGTGTAAGATGGTATCTCAAAGTTGATTTGATTTGAATTTCCCTGATCACTAAGGAGGTTGAGCATGATTTTAAGTGTCTTTTGGCCATTTGAATTTCTTCTGTTGAGAATTCTCTGTTCAGTTCAGTACCCCATTTTCTAATTGACTTAATAAGAATTTTAGTGTCTATTTTCTCGAGTTCTTTATATATTTTGGAGATCAGACCTTTGTCTGTTGCGGGGTTGGTGAAGATCTTCTCCCAATCAGTAGGTTGCCTTTTTGTCTTAATGACAGTGTCCTTTGCTTTACAGAAGCTTCTCAGTTTCAGTAGGTCCCATTTATTCATTGTTTCTCTTATTGTCTGTGCTACTGGGGTCCTACTTAGGAAGTGGCCTCCTGTGCCTATATCTTTTTTTTTAGTAATTTTATTAAATTATAAAAGTTTCCATTTCTCCCCCTCCTCCCACCACCCTCCCACTCCCCCCACTCCCTCTCCTCCTTATTGTCTGTGCTACTGGGGTTCTACCTAGGAAGTGGTCTCCTGTGCCCATGTGTTGTAGACTACTTCCCACTTTCTCTTCTGTCAGGTTCAATGTGGTCAGATTAATATTGAGGTCTTTAATCCATTTGGACTTGAGTTTTGTACATGGTGATAGATAAGGATCTATTTTCATTCTTCTACAGGTTGACATCCAGTTGTTCCAGCACCATTTGTTAAAGATGCTTTCTTTCCTCCATTGTATAATTTTAGCTCCTTTGTCGAAAATCAGGTGTTCATAGGTTTGTGGATTAATTTCTGGGTTTTCGATTCAATTCCATTGGTCAACATCTCTGTTTTTGTGCCAATACCAAGCAGTTTTCATTACTGTAGCTCTGTAATAGAGTTTGAAGTCAGGGATCGTAATGCCTCCAGAAGTACTTTTATTGTATAGGTATGTTTTGGCTATCCTGGGTTTTTTGGTTTTCCATATAAAGTTGATCATTGTTCTCTCAAGGTCCCTGAAGAATTTTGATGGGATTTTGGTGGGGATTGCATTGAATCTATAGATTGCTTTGGTAGAATTGCCATTTTTACTGTGTTGATATTCCCAATCCAAGAGCATGGGAGATCCTTCCATTTTCTGGTATCCTCCTCAATTTCTTTCTTCAAAGCCTTAATTTCTTGTCAAATAGATCTTTCACTTCCTTGGTTAGAGTTACCCCAAGATGCTTTATGCTATTTGTGGCTATCGTGAAAGGCGATGTTTCTCTGATTTCCCTCTCTGCTTCTTTGTTCTTTGTGTATAGGAGGACAACTGATTTTTTGGAGTTGATCTTGTATCCTGCCACATTACTACAGCTGTAGGAGTTCTTTGGTAGAGTTTTTGGGGTCGCTTATGTACACTATCATATCATCTGCAAATAATGAGAGTTTAACTTCTTTTCCAATTCGAATCCTCTTGACTTGTTTATGCTGTCTTATTGCTATTGCTAGAACTCCAAGCACTATATTGAAGAGGTATGGAGAGAGTGGACAGCCTTGTCTTGTTACTGATTTTAGTGGGATGGCTTTGAGTTTCTCTCCATTTAATTTGATGTTAGTTGTCGGCTTGCTGTATATTGCTTTTATTATATTTAGGAATGAACCTTTTATCCCTAATCTCTCCAAGACCTTTATCATAAAGAGGTGTTGAATTTTGTCAAATGCTTTTTCAGCATTTAATGAAATGATCATATGGTTTTTTTCCTTCAGTTTATTTATATGATGGATTACATTGATAGATTTTCGTATGTTGAACCAGCCCTGTCTCTCTGGGATGAAGCCTACTTGATCATAATGGATAATTTCTTGAATGTGTTCTTCAATTCTGTTTGCCAGTATTTTATTGAGAATTTTTCCATCAATGTTCATGAGTGAGATTGGTGTGTAATTCTCTTTCTTGGCTAAGTCTTTGTGGGGTTTTGGTATCAGGGTGACTGTAGCTTCATAAAAGGAGTTAAGCAATGATTCTTCTGTTTCTATTTTGTGAAACACATTAAGGAGTATAGGTATATACTCTTCTTGGAAGTTCTGGTAGAATTCTGCATTGAAACCATCTGGTCCAGGGCTTTTTTTTTGGTAGGGAGGTTTCTGATGACAGCTTCTATTTTCTCGGGACTTATAGGTCTATTTAAACTGCTCACCTGGTCTTGACTTAATTTTGGTATGTGGTATTTATTTTAAAAAGTGTCCATTTCTTTCACATTTTCCAATTTTGTGGCATACAGGCTTTTGTAGTAAGATCTAATGGTTCTCTGAATTTCCTCAGTGTCTGTGGTTATGTCCCCCTTTTCATTTCTGATCTTGTTAATTTGTGTGTTCTCTCTCTGGCGTTTGATTAGTTTGGATAG